GCCCCCCGCCGCCCCGCGCCCCCTCTGGAGCCGGGAAAAGTAAGGAAAATCCGCAGGAAACCGGGCGGGCGGCGGAAAGGCTGAACGAATGGCGGCGAAAAGGGGAACGCTGGCTCAAATCTTTAGGGGGTCAAGCGTTTTCTGACAGATTTTTTTTCACGTTCCCCAACCCGAGTTTTTAAACAAAGATCAATGTGTTATGCTAAAGTGTTGAGCTGACTGTTAAAACATTTGGGGGGATAATGACAATGTAACAAAGGCCTGGTTTGGAGTGAATCATCACCCTTTTAAAAGTTAAAGCAATTTTCAGGAGAATAGCTTTCAGCAAATGCTTTACATTATTCAAAACGGCCAAATAATGCTCTATTATAGCGCCTGAATGCTGCCAGTCAGCCCATAAGTGCAATTTGTGCAAAGGCTCGGTGCCTTATCTCCACTTCTTTATAAAGAGGTGAATATAAAACAATTTCTTCCAAACCCAGACAGAGAGCACGAAAATTGCTTCCCTTTCTGCAATCAGGGCAATTTAACTGGAGTGCAATTAGCACTATTAAATGTCGATTCTGCATAAACAAATCTGACTAAGAAGCGAAAGTGGGGTGAGAACCTCATATAAACTGAAACTGATTTTTTAAAATTATGTATCCGGGTCCTTTACAATTGATCCGTGACGTTTTCATCTCGGAATATATTTACATCATAAATACATTACGGTTAAATCAACATAAATCTTAAAAAAAAATCTCAATATGAATACTAATAAAGAAGAATAGCCTAATTAAATGCAACAGTTCACTTCCTTTGAACAATATTGTTTCCCATCTTCCCTTTACGCGTGTCTTTTGATCTGTGCAACTACTAAAGTTGCTGTCTTTAGGAGGTAAAGCTGGGAAACAATTCGTTCATTAAAGCTGATTGGGAGGCTCCTGGGTTCATATTCAAGAGCGTCAGATGAAATGGCTCTTCTGTTCAAACAGAGCTCTGGGAAAGAGCTGCCAAATATTTTCCAAATAAATCGATTTAACAGCAGTTAAATGTAAGGTTGCTGTACAATTTCCCCTGAATCCTAGGAGGAGCACGGAGTTTTACACATGGATGTTACGGGTGGGAAAGGGGCAAACCCTTCCAAGTTCAAGAGAAGCAGCCTCATTTTCTGCCAAACAGAAGGGATGTGGGCAGGAAACAGGCAAACTGCTCATCGCCGAGATAAATAATTGCGTCCTGCCAGATTTTTTTTTTTTTTTTTTTTTTAAGCTACAGGACTTCCATGGCCCCCCCCCCCTCTGAATTACACTTACCATTTACGTGATCTAGAAACCACCATTGATTATCAGAGCAACGCAGAGGGGGACCTGCTGATAAATTAATAACTTCAGTTAAGAAAAGGCTTCCCCACTATTCTGCTCAAGAGTAGATATTAAAGGGGGAAAGGACATATAGAGCTGGTGTTAAAATACAGACTTTGGCGCCTGTTGAGTCCACTGAATTCTTTCTGCTGTAGAGTTTTTCATTTGTGGGTAAGGATGAAGTGCAGCTTTTTATTAGAAAGAAATCTTTTATAGTTAATCATAACAAAAAAAGGAACGAGCACTGGGATCAAATAGATAATGGAAATTAAATGAAAATTATGGCACTCTCCGACAATTTCTGCTGGAGTTTTCATACGGTGTTTGTTGCAGAATGCACCCCCCTCTCCTCCTGCCCCTGCTCTCAGAACCCCGAGGTGGAGCATCGGGCTGGGCTTTCAGCTGCTCCTCGGTCTTTAAGGTGACACTATTTAGGAGTAAGAGGGCGACCCATATCACCCCGCGTTTAAAAAATCTGCACGGTAGTTTTAGAAACCCTTTCGTCTGCTGAGCGCAGTCAAAAACCCGTCTGTGGAACTAATTCTCCTCCGCTAAATTTCTTTGGACCATGTATTTTAAACCTCCCTTGTTGTGTTTATCTCAGCCGAAGACACGTTAACAATTCAAGGGAAGACTAGTGTCAAAGGAAGGAAGGTGACTGCAGACTGTATGATGATTTTAATTACTACAATTATTGGAAGATTATTCAACGGCATCATAGATTTGTTTTCTGCCTTGGTAGGAAAGTCTGAGGAACATTGTGTGAGGAACATTGCAGGAGGATTTTCTCTCTTGGTCCTCAGGCTTCCCGGTGCTGGTGTGCTCTCTAGGTTAGACGCGAGGAGCTCAGCCTGCAGCAGGTTTGAAATTCAGGCAGTGCCAGCGTTCATCGAGCTTTCTTAAAATGAAGGTGTTTCTAAATAGAAGGAGTTTAATTAGCAAACGGCTGGACCCACGTTTATAGAGCGTGAAACCACCTTTTCATACCAGTCTATTAAAGAAGCTCCGATGACTTGGTAATTAGCTCTGTCTTTGAAGCAGGGGAGCGGTGGCCACAAGCCTTGGCTTGGCAGCCCCCCGGCAGCAGAAGCCACCCGGGGGGTCCCCCCGCCCGCCCGGCTCCCCAGCGCCACGGCCGCTGTCGGGGGGGCTGCCCCGGGGCCGGGGGAAGCAGCGGCACCGGGCGGGGAGGCGGGAGAGCGGGCGGGTGCCTCGCCCGGAGCATCCTCACGGCGGGAGAGTCCCGTCCCCGCATTTCTCCTCGTATCCCGCTTCTGAGACCGTCCCAGCTTTCTAGATGACATTTTTAGCCAGGCATGACTCAGAATGTTGGTTGTGATTAAGCAGGCTGTCTATCTGCAGATAGAGATATGTGGGAGCGTAATAGGCAGGATGATTGACATCGCGAAGTTCTCTCCGATCCACAATGACCAATAAATCCTCCTGCAGGTTTTGCCCGTTAATGAATTGCTGGTTTGGAAGAGGAAAAGACGATGAACCCCCCCCTCCATTCGTATGTTCCCCTTTCCCCCCTCCCCCTGTCCTGGGATTAGGGTGAGGAAAGACGGGGAACCGTTCATTGTGCTCTTTCTGTGTTCTGTAATTACTGGAGCTCAGGCTTAAGGTGAATTTCAGCTCAGA